GCAAATTTCCTCACAGGAAATAGAATTTCCTCACAGGAAATAGAATTTCCTCAAAGGAAATATTAATGCAGCAAATTCCCTAAGGGAAATCTTTTTCCCTTGAGGAAAATACAATTTCCCTTAAGGAAAAATCTTTTTCCTTCAGGGAAATTTGATTTCCCTTGAGGAAAACTACTTTTCCTCTGAGGAAATTGTTGAAAAAAGGGGCATAACTTTTTCAACAGTGGTGCTAGAGCCAAATTTTTTTAGGACAAATATCAGGGAACCAATACCAACCAAGTTATCAATTTCATTTTGACTTAACTCCAAAAATTAAGGTGACAACTTTTGCACTCAGCGGAAGTGCAAACTTGTCCCGGAGACTGTTATAAGTTTCGCTTATTGTTTAAGGCCGTACGGTGACTTCATCTGGTTTTTGGTCAATAGTTGTATAATTGACAACCATACCACATCTTCTTATTTATATAATTTATATATAAAACTACCAGAAGTAGACGAAATCGCTTTCCCTGACTTAACCATAACACTTTTACAGTGTGTAAGATATATAAATATATATATATAAAACCTTAGAGTTTTGGGCATTTCTCCCATATTATATATGTATGTCCTAGGAGTACAAAAACAGAACTGGATGGATATAATAAGGAGACATTTGGTACATTGTAAAAAATGGTTCAGCAAGCTAACAAAACATTTAACTAGCATAGACGTCTAATGATAACTCTAGATATTTAAAATCTACAGTGTTTATGAAAACCACAGCTCTGTTTTATGGACTCTAACAATTAGAAACTCAGTGCATACATGTCTGACCTCAAACATTGGGCTGAAAACAAATATTGCTGGCGAAAACATTTATTTTTTTTACAGCCTATCATTTGGTAAGCTGCTTCTCTGAATTCTACTGAACTTGGTCTAAATTTAGCTATTAGTCAGCGATTCAATTGTTCAATCTGTAAATTTGTTGTAATTAATTGGGTTTTTTTTGGAAAGGCAGAGGAGGGTAATTTGTTTTGTTTGTGTAAACGTGCGTCTCTTATGTACTCTTTTAAATGATACTTCTTTCATTCTCAATTCAGTTTTCTCAAATGCATTATTGAAAATAAAAAGTGCATCCCATCGGCATAATTATTCGATATGCTGAAACCATCGCTGATAACATGCATAAAACATTTTCTTTATATAGAACAGAGTTATATGTAATGTGTCATGGTTCAAACTCCTACTCACACCTGGCAAAACGCAAAGCAAAGGAACAGTACTATTATTGCCGTTCTATGGTCATTTGCAATCGGAACAGGAAGACAACTATTTAGTCTTTGAAGGAGTATTTTGGGATAACTTATGATGCAATTCGAATCATATATCAATAAAAAGAAGGTCTTTTCACAAATAAACATAAACTTTTTTGTTAATCTATTAAAGTGACATCTGACATCATAACTGTATTGTTATGTTGTTGGTTTTTGACACTACTGGATACGGCTTTAAGAGTCGTTTGACAAGTTATGCATATATACCAGCAAATGGTCACCATATTGACGTACCTGGCCATCGTTACGTGTTCATCATATTCATGCGATTCAGATCGTTTTTCACTCCATGATTGACTATTGCACCGATATACATCTACTATATTTATAATTTATAATTACATGATTGAATATTTTTGACAATTTTTACTCATTTATTCCTGTTTTCGGAATACCTTCAGATGGCACTGCTTTACATTCAAGAAACCACAATGCCTTACAATTGGAACGTTAGAAAACTTACAAATTATAGATCTTCATTTGATCTTCAGTCAATGTTAATGCATATAATCCGTGTGTTACATGTATCTAAGAAGCAAAGTTAGTGAGTGATAGTCGGTCATAAAATATCGTTTCCTGAGAATATTTCGACGATATTGACAATAGAGGGAGAAGATATCAAGGGGGCAATAAAAAAATCACCAATAACAATAAAAACAGATAATGCAATGAACAGACACTGGTGATCTCACCTTGTGGTATTCAAAATATAGACGATAACATATTTGACATGTTTTCATTCCCATTGTTTTCGTCTTCACTTCACAAGAGACTTTGATTAGTTGTTTTCTCATTTACTTATACACCACATTTTTATCATATCACTTTTCAGGTTAAGCATTATTATAAAACTAACATTTGGTTTGGATAGATATTATTTGACTTTTAGTTTTCAATATTTTTTCTTTATACTTGTATCATCTGAAAGTCTCTGAATTTTTTCATTCTTTTCGTAAAAAGGGCTAAACGGTCCTGTATTTATCTACAAATATGAATGATAACTCATGTCAACACAGAAGTGTTGACTACTGAGCTCGAGATACCCTCGGGGGGGGGGGGGGGGGGGGGGGGGATTTCCATCAGCAGTTGCATCGACCCAGTGGTTGTAAATTAACTCATCATAGATACCACGATTACGAGTGTGTACGCCAGACGTCCGTTTCATCAACAAATAACTCATCTGTAATGTTCGAATCAAAAAGTTTAAAATGCTAAATAAAGTGCGAAGTTGACAAGCATTGAAAACCCAAAGTTTTAAAAGGTTTTGCTAAATATAGCTCAGGTAGTCTATTCCTGGGTTCAAATATCCTTAGTATTTGAAACATTCATGGTTTGTTACAGTTAATCTCTTATTATGACCATTGAAATGATAATTCGTGTCAACAAAGAAGTGCTGACTACTGGGTTGGTGATATCCTTGGGTACGAAGAATTCCACCAGCAATGGCATCCATCCAGTGCTTGTAAATAAACTCATAGTAGATACATGATTAAGAGTTTGTACGCCATACGCGCATTTCATCCACAAAAGACTCATTGGTGACAGTCAAAACAAAAAAGCTTAAGGGGACAAATAAAGTATAAAAATGACGAGCATTAAAGACCCAACTGTCGAAAGGTTTTGTCAAATATAGCTTAGGTAGTCTAATCCTTGGGTGGAAAATCCATAGTATTTTGAAACTTTCTAGGGTTTATAAACAGTTAATTTCTAGTTATGACCATATGAATTTATGTCTACATATAAAACAGTATACATGTAACAAAATACCAAACTCCAAGGTAAATTCAAAATAGAAGAAGTCGATAAAAACTAAAAAAATCAAACATTATCAACAAACGGAACGTATTAAAACAACTATCATACAAGCGTTTGCCAAATAAAATGGTGGGTTAAACGGTTAAACCTGCATTTATCATTAGATAAATTCCCAGTTGTTTATAGTTCTGTTATATTGACAACATTAGATGAGCAACCCAAATAGACGTAGTTAGGTAAGTCTGACAATAATTTGGATCCTGCAGCGAAAGAAAATTAAATATACAAAACGACTGTCTAAAAAATTCAAAAAACATATAAATAAATCTAACAAAGATTGTGTAGTTGATTGTAGATTGACAACGACGGCGATAAAAAAGATGATAAGATGATATAGTTGATAGTACATACCATAAAGAGTATACACTTTCTAGATAAAGTACAAATTAAGTTAAAAAAAATAGAATGTAAACTAAATCGAAACAACACTGTGAAAATCTCAGGTGTCCAAATCGCACCTCAGGACTCACCTGCACCAGGAAAGCCCAACGTTAAAAAACCCGAAAGTGGTATGCATAAATACCAAGTCACCTCAAAGAAACATAATAGCATGAATACAACTAAATAGAAAACTGTAAAGTAAATGAAAAGATACACACCTTCAGCAACTAGAATGTTTAACTCAAGACCATCTTGTATTATTTGTGAAGTCGACACTGAATATTTGTCTATAAGGTCTGAGCTTTTTCCAATGAACTTTTTGAAAAAAAAAGGACTGGACCTTCCTTCACAACACCCTTGTTCTTTAATGTTTTGCTCAGACAACAATGACGTTTTACAAAATCTGAGTAGCAGCTACAAGCTCTTGAATATTGTTTGAATTGGGAAATGTATACTCAATACGCGGATGAAGTTGGTAAATTGTTGCTAAGGGGAGGAACATATAATTTTAAAATTGAAGTCGTCTCGTTTGTCATAGATGCTGGAACTGAATTGACCGCTGTGGTCAAATTCGCGGTACATGTTTTCATGTGAGGCGGAGGAAGCTGTATCTGTGGTTTCTTCAATCTCTAATGCAGGAGGATATATTAGTGGGACCCAATCAGAAAAGTTTGGGTTATTAGTGGATAGAACATTGTCAATATACCTGTATGTGAAATTAAATTATATAGTTTCTTTGGTCTTTTTGATTTTTACAAGTATTTGAAGGAACTATTACTCATATGAAAATAAGAAAAGGTAGGCCAGGAGATGCACCCAGTTGGTTTCCACAGGAATGCCGACAGCCTGCTGGAAAATTCTTCCTCTAAATTCAAAAAATATGTTGACAATGAGAAACCCCAGCATACTGATCACGCCTTCTCCGGTGTAGCATGCTTAATTATCGGGACAAAATATGCAGAAGTATGTCTGAATGCATAGTGGATTATTTGTTTAAAACGGATTTGTAATTTTTCATATGGTATTGTTGTGTAAAGGGTTAGAAAATCCTACGCTTTGATAGAATGAAGTGCCTTTGAGTTCTAAAGAAACCACATAATGCCACTACGCGAGTAAACAGTGTCACAGTATTTCTGTAATCCCTCTTTTAATGCGGAACATAAATTAGTTAATCTAACTAACAATTCCTGGATAAAACACGGCCGGCAATATACTGTATTACATAAGTGACACGACAAACATTGTTTGAAATAGCAAATAATATTTGTTTTATTTGAGGGGAAATCTGAATTACTGTTGCATCTACTTAAATAGTATTAACAGTGTTAGACTCTGAGAGAATACGAGTTTCACATTTGTGGTTTTTAATTGTCTCTTGGAATCTTCGACATCGTTTTGAAAGAAATCGATTAAATCTATGCTATTGTGCTTTTTGCATTTTTAATTTTTTTTATCAATTTCATTATTTTTGGCATCATGTGATAGGTATGCATCTTATTATTTTAATCAAACTCACAAATAAATATTCAATGCATGTGTATCATTAACAAGTCATAATAAAAAAAAAAACTTCTGTTGTACAACATGGTTTTCAACTTGAATTACCTGTACTATGAATTCATATATTTTCGTGGGTACTAATTTTCATGGATTGAGGAACATTGTATTTTCGTGGATTTTTGATTTTGTGCAAGACTGTATTCAAGCCTGTAGAAAATGTGTGGATTTTGTGAAAGATTTAAATTCGTGGTTTACCTCCATCCACGAAATCACTGAAATTGGTATCCAACGAATTATAATGAAGTAAGTCTATATATAACAACAGATAATACAATTTATATTTTGCATTGGAATATATGTATATAAGATATTGTTATGTTACAAAATGTATAGCATTTTTCTTTCCTTCGTAATACATGCATATAAAAAAGACATTGTTATTATAATTTGAGTATTACATTTGTAACCTACTGAAAAGTATTTACATCTTAATTCAAATGGTACTTTGAGTCATCTTTGGTTATCAATATGTAACTATAAAACATATATGTCAAATTATTGAGAGATGTTGTTTAACGAGCCCGGAAATTTAGAAACGATCCGGGTAAACTTATCGATCCTTTAAATAAACTTATTCTAAAAGGTTACCAGTTCAACACTGATTTTTGAATATTGCTTTTATTGGTATAAATATTGATTTTGTTATCAGTAAATTAAAATCAAACTAAATATTATTGTTATACATGTATACATATGCACATTCATGGCTCTTCATTCTGTCGATACCAGTATCTTGGAATTGCGCAAGGTCATGTTTTTTTCTCTGACTGTTTATGACGTCTTTACATTAAATCCCTTGGATGTTGAATCTGTACTGATTGATAATTTAGTCTTAGATGCATGATTTTTTTTATTAGTTGTTATTGGCTTTGAACTAGCTGTCAGTAACTGCGAGTACTCTCAGATATGTACTTAGTGTCTTTTTGTTTTTTGAATGTACAAGTACCCGTCCACGTCCACTCTGTGTTTTTGTTAGATGTATTTCTATTTGTATCCATCTGATGAGTTAAGCCTTTTTCAACTGATTTTGATAGTTTGTTCTTATGTTGGACTGTTACACCTCTGTCCCGTTTTAGGGAGAGGGTTGGCGCCTACACACAAGTTTAACCCCTCCATATTTTACATGTGCCTGACCCAAGTCAGGAGCCTGTAATTCAGTGGTTGTTGTTTGTTGCTGCTTCTCAAATTTGTTTATCGTTTATTGTTTTGTAAAGTTTGTTGTTGTGTTGTGCCGTTGCACCATTGTCCCAGGTTAGGGGGGGATTGGCGCCAACAAACTAGTTTAACCACGTCACATTCTGTATGTGCCTGTCCCAAGTCAGGAGCCTGTAATTCAATGGTTGTCGTTTGTTGCTGTGTTACATATTTGTTTTTCGTTCATTATTTTGTACATTAATTAGGCCGTAAGTTTCCTCGTTTGAATTGTTTTACATTTGTCATTTGGGGGCCTTTTAAAGCTGACTATGCGGTATTGGCAACCTTACCACATATTCTGTTTTATATATGTTTTAAAAATAAATCAAAGAAATATCTGAAAAAAGCGACAAAGTCAATAAGAGTCCGGTTAAGTTAATCTAACTTGTGTTTACTAAATACTAACTGCTTTGATTACATTAACATCTATTCTTGTATGTTCAATCTCATTTTATTATTGAGTGTCACGGCAATGAAAACTGTAACACGTGATTGAAAGCTTTCACGACGACATTAGCATGTGATCCTATACACGCTACATAGTTCATTCCCTAGTGATAAAGTTCATTATATAGGCAAATCTGAATACATATTAGTATGTGTGCTAGCTTAGTAAGAATTATCTTCCATTGAGCAAAATGAAGAGCGCGAATATTTGCATGTATTTTTTCGACAAATCATGTTGATATCTTTCAATTTATCAACCGACTTTTATCGCAACGCATCAAAACCCATTTAAATGTTTTGTTAAGCTTTAGAGCCAATGGTTTACTAAAAGAAATTAGCATTGATGTTATCCTCCAAATCCGAACACTAATGAACTTGTTATGTATTTAAACACTCTTATTACATAAGTATTTATTTTTCAAAAACACTTCCCGATAAATGGAGAACACATAAGACCTGCAACTGATAATTGAAATGAAATTTTTGGACGTGATTTTCTCAACAAATAACTAAAAACAATAACAACTATTGGATTTGACAAGATCTTTAACAAAACTTGCAAAAACACTTTATAAATTTCATGTGTTCGAAGCACCTTTCTATATTTACCTTCATCAGACGTTCTAATAACCAAATATTTGGGAGGTAAGAATGTATAAGAACGGAAAAATGTAAGGAGATATATGCATGATATGATCAAAAGATACATACCAAGAAGATACAACTCTATTACACTTCTTATAAAATAGTTTCAAATTTTTGTTGGTTTTTTTCTACTACACTTAGTCAAATATTCATTACAGGACCTGTCAAAATATTACATATTTTACCATGCATTCAGTACAATTATGAATGATTATAAATTAAAAAAGAGGTTATTTTGAACTTCAGTAGCGTAAAATCTAAAATAAGTTATTGGAAAGGTAGAGTTTGTGTACGATAACTTAGGTTTTTTTTATGTATATAGATAAGAGATTTGTATCCAGTGACAAAGTTTCATAAGTATCTCCTGACTTTGCACATACAAAGATAAATATTTTATAACTGTTTCTGTGTTTTATCTCCTTTACAAAATTATAAACTGGTCGTTCGAAAACTAGACAATAATCTCTCTTCAAATCATTATGTTCAAAATTTATTTTCGAAAGACTTTAAAAAATGTGAATATGATCAACTGACGATGTAATTGTATTAATGGGTCTTGCGTGGGTAACCTACCACAGATTATTTGTCATGTAAATTCATGCATTTACAAATTCAAGATTGTATAAATATTGTCAAAACATCTATGTATAGCTATCCCTAGCACACGCCCCTGCCAACAATCATACAAATAATTAAGATTAAAACAAATAGACGGTCTGTGCAACAACCACTATAACATGTACAAGTTACATAACTAAATTCATAACCGAATAAAGACCACTGTTCTCAATAGCAAATGGACATTTATCTTCGTCGTTCTACATTCAACATTAGTAAGTATTAACATTTATACAGATTATGAGAGTATGAAAATATAAATAATAATATAATGCATGTGTATTCTATCATAACCAAACTATGCCACGTTTAACTTTACCACCAATTTTAGCTGGAAGATATGGACATCTTAACTTTAACGAGTGTCTCATGGTGGACTAAATCGCTCACATGGCAAACACCTCCAACAATGAAATTATAAGCAACACTGGTAGCAATCTATTAACAGTCCGAGGATTTTGTTATGGCTTCGTCCAATTTAATTAGAAAGATATTTTTATGAAAATTGTCCACATATTTAGGACAATAGTCTCAAAAATATTCATTTGACGATATCAATCACTTTATGTACTTGAAGATCTCACTTAATTTACTTGAAGATCTGGTCTTGTCGACGCATTCGCTGTTTTTATTTTCTCTTTGTGTATTGTTGTTTTAATAACCTTCACATACAACTGATCTAACAATTTAATTTAGCTCCGGAACGGTTACTCCTGTAAACAAATTGAGACAAAATTTCAAGTAGGTTAACCTATTTGTAGATCATGTTGGCTATTCACAGTTCATCTCTTATAAAATGAAAATAATTCCCCAAAACGCATATATATGCTAAAATATCTAATTCCCGATATAGTAATGTTGACTTATTTTCGTGTCTAGCAAATTACTTAATATTCATACAAAATGTGAATTTGCATGCCGAGTGATGCATGCGTAGCAGGAGCCTCTGATCATCGACACAACCGGTTTCGACCCTTTTGAAGTCCACGCGATTCCCTCATTGTTTTCTTTTTTTTTTTTTTTTATTTTACCTTGATTTTTTCGTCTGAATAGGTTTATGATATTTCAACTACTGTTGCCTTAATTTTGGATAAAACAATAACGAAACACAAGTATGACATAAAAAGACAGCCAAAAACGACAAACACTGAAAAACAAGCTCATGAGTAGGGAGAGTCACGCTTTGAATGTGAATTGATGAAATATATGTTAGCGAGCGCTCAACTGTCGTTTAATCTGGGGAAGTGTTATGACAGCTAACTTACGAACCAGCTGTCTTATCGATAAAGTAGGTGTTTACAGCTTATTTATCAACTATTGTTTTCGCCAAAAACAAAGAAAGCAAAAATGAGCGCAAATCGCCATAAAATGACAATATATCCTATAAGAAGTCGAGTGCTTTGATTTCAGTAATGATACCTTGTAAATCAAGATTCTAAATGAAAGTTTAATTCATTCTTTCGAAAAAGTTTACTGAGACATCACGAGTTGGTTGGCCGTTGATCTGTTTCGCAGATGACGACATATATGACGTTAAAAAAGTTGAAAATGAAGTCTTCAATATTTACTTTATAAACATAAAACATGTTATATATGAACAAATTTTGAAGGAAAAAAATCTGAGGATAAAAGATTTTCTTGTGATTACCAGCAACTTTACGGTGGAGAGATGTTAATCTTCTTTTGGCTTTCAACTATGCCTGTGTTCCCTTTATGAAATAATTAATTTGGTTGTAATCATCTGCATTCGGACATTTTGAGCTTTGGTCCAGAATATCCATTGTTAGACACATAATTGCAAAAAGGTGACATCATAAAAGTGAATGCATTATTTGTATCGAACTTGTCATGTTCGACAACTGTTATTTATGCAGTACAAAACAAGTTGAACTGTGAACTATGGCTTAGTAATGATACCCCCATAATAAGTATTCTGTAAACAGAAACTTGATAAGCAAGTAGTCATCAAATGCGTCACGCAGTAAAACATGCCCCGTGACGCCTGATGCATATTTCATAAAGGTCTGATGTAGCTTCATAAAATAATTTGACCTTTTATCTATATGGCATAATTTCACAGGAATTAATTAATCTTTCAACATATTTAACTTTGCAATATATTTGGCAGAGCTATCTTAAAAGGTTTTTTTTATTTATGCATTTTTTTAATTTCTTGTGTTTTACAAACTGTAGGACGTTAGAATATAGACTGATTGTTAAGCTTACATGAACAGATCGATATACAAATATGTCTTCACAAATCCATCTGTTTGATATGTGTCTAATACAACTTGCTCAGTGTCACTGATATTAACCTGTCAGTCACAGATGATACTACCAACCCAGCAATTATGCGAATTTAATATAATATTTTGTAGAATTTTTTTAGACTATATATACTTTAATTGTATTTAAAGATTTTGTAACTTACCCAGAACTTTCAAGTCGACTTTCTGTGGCCTTAACTGGTCTATATCGATCAATAAGGATTGTTTGCTCTCAAAAGTTTTATGCCGTTGCAGATGTGGCTTTGAATCATTAGTCCTTGGTACCAAACTAAATAGTACAGAACACTGTTAATAGAAACACGTGAAATACAATGACAAGTGATGTAGTTAATCTTAAGCTTTATCTTTGTTTGATAATTTAAGTGTATTTGTATTGAATTTACTAATGTTATTAATTGATACATTTATCCATGCATTTCATATACAATGACAACTGTTGACAACTCCATATACAGTTTTAAATGTTTATGTGCAGTTCCTGTTGAACGGAACATTTGACACTTCCAGTTTTCTGTGCGATTTCAAATATTTTGAATTGAGATCATCAGCAGACGTTGACTTGAAAATAATTTAATGTTTCAATACGTCTAAGTTTATTGATTTTAGCAAATCGTTTAAATAATAGTGACGATAAAACAGAAAGTTAAATGGTTATCTTAAAGCATTAGGATAACTACAATTGGTATCATTGTCATACATGTTTTAGCTTTCCTTACCTTGTATACTCTGTGTACACATATATATAACCAAATGATTTTGTTCACAGATAACGTAGAGAGTTGTTAACATCTAGCTAGGAATTCGGTCAAGATGTTGTTTGGGATCCCTTGAAGTTAAGGTTAGAAAGAACTGTTACTCTGTACTGTTAACCTTGAGCATGAAGCAATTTCCAGCAATACAAACGTAGTACCATTCATGTTGTGTTTTGTAAAAGAAATATTTAAATTGATTGATACGTTTTTCCGTGCTACATGCATCAAGCAAAGTGAAAAACACTTTTATGTATATTGAATAATTGGAATTTCAATTGAATGTAGATTTCTATACGTCAAATAGACAATAGTAATTGAACAGGAAAATTCTTTGAATTCCTAAAACTAAGACAGAAAAACGTGCTGTTTTTTTTTTTCAAATATTATTGAGATTAATTCAAAATAATGAGAAAAAATCTCTTTCTTTTTTTCTAATTGTGAATATTAACTTTGCATTATAAAACAAAGATAATAAAATACAGAATGGCTTTCTTTCTCTATTAACATAAACAATTGGAATACTGTTATTTTATAACAAACTGAAATATAAGCATGATATGAATTACGTACAGCAAAATATACGTACAAACAGCGAAATAACATAATAAACGAAAAGCAAGGGAAATATTTTAATAATTGATATGATGATTAATTGAAACACTTATAACTAATATATGCTTATTGATAATAAATGCTATACAGAAGTTATCTATACAGAATAAGGCGTGTATAAGTATACATAAGCAGTTAGGTAAATGTTCAATATATATATTATCCCTATACGACCATTTATTAGAAGAATATACATAATTACATTGTACTGACTTCATTTTTCAAAGGTTGTCACTTTCTTATAACATAAATATAAACTTAAAATATTGCTTAAAAACATTAGAATTCGAGGGAAAAAAAGCGTAAAACAATTGGTGCCATGTGTTGATAAATGAATTCAAAGGTGACATTACAGATCGGAAGTAATCTCACAGTCAATGAGGTGACAGCAAGTTTATTTTAAGAATTCGTGACTCGTAATATAACATGGATTACATAAAATGTATTGTGCATGTTTAATTTCAACTAAAGTTACTATATGAGACTCATTGAGGTGGTTATTTCAGAATATCTAACTGCATATGATCCTCCCTTGTAAACGTTCGATTAAGGTGAAACTCGTTTTAAAAGCCAGCTAACAAACTAACAAATTTATTAGTTTTGATACAGCATATTGATTCTTAATGCAGTCCCTCGTTGTCAATGAAACTCGTAAAAGTAAGTGAAAAATAGAAGTTGTGCGCTTTATATAAAACTATAGTTTGCACAACGATGGAATTAAATCATAAACAATCAGACAGTTATTAAAAAAAAATACATACAAATTTGAAAACATATTTTTGTATAATAGATGTTAACCAAAACTAGCACACGGTTCTAAACGCAACCAACAAACTATCGGAAATAAGCGAGAAACCCTTTCGAGCTTGATCATACAAAAACACCTATTGGCTTGGATACTAACAATAAGACTTTAGTCTTGATGTAATTCCTCTTTGGTAGATTATTAAAACCCTCCTGAATACTGTTTTGTTCAATTATCAAGTAATTTGAAGGTCCAAATCGTGAACAGGTCGTCGAATATTCATCTTTTGACAAAATCAATTACACGTTGTTAAAACAAAAATGCGTGACTGATAATGTGTATTTAACTTATCAGTACTAATGCAATTCCACCAGTAGGTTTAGACATAGTTTTATCAATTTTCGTTTAAACTTCATTCACTTTTCGAATTTACATATAATAACTACTTACATATTTGCGTACCATCATGTTGGCATCGCCGAAATAAATCAAGAAACTTCTAAATTGTACAATAGGCCAAAACGGAAAGCCTTTTCAAATGGTAAAAACAAAAGCTCAAACACATCAAACACATCAAACGAATGGAAAACAACTGTCATATTTCTAGTACAGGCATTTTCTTATGTAGAAAAGGCTGGATTAAACCTGGTTTTAAAAGCCAGCTAAACCTCTCAATTATATGACAGTCGTATAGAATTCCATTATATTGACAAAACTGTGTGAGCAAACAAACAGACATAATAAGTAAAACATTACCTCTTGTTTTTTTTTTTCATTTTCCTATGCAATACCCAAGTACATTTTTGTATGATTGCTTCGAACGTTCGTTTTGAACAAAATCTTACCTGCATCTTCTGTTGCACAAGGGAAACAATCGACGCCAATATCGTTATCGTGACGACAGCCTGATGTATCAGCATTGAATGTACAATTCAGTAATGCACTCTCTGAACCGGAGCATTTTACGTCATTTAACCAAATGGTACCTTCCCCATCACTAACAGCATATGCTGGAAGCACGATTCCAGAACTATTGATAAATGAATATATGGAGTTAGATATTTACTTCTCTCCGTTCAGGGTTCTATATCCTTTGAAATACTCTCAATATTCAGTTGAATACATGTAGAGCATTTACCATATGTTCGTATATAGGTGTCAATTCTGTAAATATAGACAATGCAATTTCCCATAGGAACTCCCTTTGCGGCTAAAACTGTGCCACTTTTACTGTGAAGTTTCGTGAAAAATTATATCTCAGAACGGAAAGTTGATATGCACTACTATTTTATTCAAAGGTCAAAATATAGGGCGGTGCGGCATATTCTCAACATGTATATGCCCTGAATTTCTAAGAGTTTAAACTTATACTAAAATTATATACTAGCCCTACCTCCATTTTTAAACCTCCTAAGACAAAAATGTAAGAATTAAATTGTAGGCGCTACCATGATTTTCTATACTGGTAACATTCCCAAGTTATGTCTCTATGATATGAAACACAGAGATCATATCTGGGAACCAGTAAGTTAACAAATTAACATATCTATGAATATTATATATCTCCCCAAAAGAGGCGTGGCTTGTGAAACAGCTGTATTTACTAAGTGCAACAGATAGCCACTTTTAAATAATTTAATTTTCGATGGAACATCAGTGTATTGCTTGGTGACGAGTTATCTCTTAAAAAGACAATAACTTGCTTGATCTTGTGTAAATTAATCATTATGAGAAAGGAAGTGGTTAAGAGAGACATTTTTTTAGAGTAGTTTATTGTGTCAGTGCAATAGGAAAATCTTTTAGAAACACATAAAGTAGGTAATACTTACTTATAGATTACAACATGTTCTTTTACATTTCGGCCCTGGATCACCGGAGTCGTTAGCAGAGGGTTCATATTAGTCGAGGGGTGATAACAGGGTGAATATGAAAAAGGGCATGTTATAATCTATTAAAAACATGTTCATGATATTAAAAAGATGTTTAAAAGATGTAAACCTTTTTTATCATGCATGTTGTTTCCTCAACTGAACAATTTCATTATTACAAACCTTAGCAACAGTTAAAAGCTAAAGTCCTTGGACATAATAATATAAATGTCATATTCTTATTTCGTATTATGTTTGTGTATTTATTTAACAAATCCAGCTGTCATTTTACTCGCCGTTGACAAAACAAGTCCGTCATTGTTGTAAGGGACGCTTATTACGTCATTAATAACCCGTTGTTTGCACCGGGTAGAAATATGATCTAAGGAAATTCTGCGGGTATTATATATATAAAACCCAATGTTGTCGAAACAATTGTGTGATAAAGTTTGTTATTACATTTCAGTGCAACTAACATCAAACAGTACCTAATTTACGAACGTAATTGTTTTATAATTCCTTTGGCTACAGTAACTTTAAAATTAGTATCAATTCAAACGGTTATCAGAAATTAACCTATATATAAAAATGTTTATCCAATATGTGACTTTGAATTGTATTAAGATGCAACCTGTTTTGTTATTGCAAAAAGGATTTGCAGTTATGTATATCCATGCAGCTTTACATAATTACATAATTTGATAGTAATAGACGACTTGCTAGGCGCTTGTAGTATATACACTAGTTTGTGATTATTAGGCCAAGAACAATAATACTTTGGTAAAAATTCTGTTCGTACAGATCTATAAGCTGGACACACAAGAACAAAATGGTATTCATCTTCAATAACACACATTTTACATTATTTACATAAACGATTTTCTTTCGGAATATCATTATGACGACCAACTTCAGTATTTAACTTTAACTTTAATGTTCCACTACGTATCTTTCTTAACAGACAAACATTATTGCTATAAGAAAGATATTTTTTAATACAAAAAATCAATTCACATCTACAATAAAAAGACAATAAAAAGAAAGTTTACTACATTCTTGAACAGTTGTTGCCCAATTCTGCAAGTATTAATCTTTGATGCGAGTTTTAATATTATCTATAAAGATATCTGTTCTAAAGAACTATATTAAAGATTTTAAACGGAACTTTTTTAACAAAATGTACTCAGACAGGTCAGCATGATTAGTTCTGTCTTAGACGAAAGGTCATTCTAATTCTATTTGGCTATAGAAATTCTGCCTATAGAATTCCTGGTACCTTTGAATTGCCATACCTTTATCTGATACCTGACTAGTGAAATGAGCATTTGATGCACCAGTAATGCATGCATCGCTTAATTTAGAAAATATGCAAGTTGTATCAAGAAAGTATGATATATTTTATTGTATTACTTCTAATGTTCTGCTTTTGATATTAAATTTCGAAATTTATCGTATAGTATCGAAGGCGTAATCCACATTTTTAATTCAGTTGTTGAATAAGAATTGTTGAATATCATATTTCAAGATCAAATTTTGACAAGTTCTTCATTGGTACAGATTTTTACGAAAGAACTGATTGCATCAATTTGAGTTTTCTGGATTGACTATTTGTGTTTTGAAATCAGTTTTCGTGGATTTCGTGGATACAAATTAATTGCGAATTAAAATGATAAACGAATGACAAATTTTCTATAGACGTGTATGCAGAGTCTTGCAAATAAACAAGAAATAAAATTTCCACCATTATTAAAACCATTGAAAATAAATGAACCCACAGTATTTGTTATTTTGCTATAAACGTAATACATACCAATATCCCATCTGTCGACAGGCTACTGCTGCATCAACGTTATCAAAGTGCCAATAACATACTGTTCCCCATTCCCCCTTGTAATTAATTTCCAGTCGTCCTTAATTCGCAGCAATATCCGAAGCAATACGCAAACCACCTGCAAAGAAGATTAAGTCATAAAAATCAGATGTTCTCTACGCGAGAGGTGTTTTAAACTTTTTTTATTCAGATGCCGCATATTTACTTTTTTTAAATGTTTGGTAAAATTGGTAGTATTGTTTGCTTTCCTATAAAACTACTTGCTTATTACGTTAATAATTAAAACTATATTTTTACAATGTATCTGAACGCTTGAAATGATAAATACAGCATTACATTCTTATCTTTACTGATTTCTATAATGAAAACAAATTTAGGCACACAACTTCGGCAACATTGACTAATGAGATTAACCAAGTATCGTGTAACGGCTTTTTCTATCCAAATACACATTGAACCGACAATTTTAACAAAATATCACGCAAAGGTCAACAGTACACATAACAACATAGAAACCAAAAGAATAAACAACTATCAAACCAGGCTTTACCCACCATCTTCTTCGGAAAATTCTTGAACCAGGTCAGGAATATAGCAGCTGTTTTTATCTTGTTCTGTTGATTGTTAGCGTTTGATTTTGTCGGTTTTTATTGAATTCCCTTTTTCATATTTGCCTTTGAGTTCGGTATTGTTTTGCCATACTTTTTTTTCCATACAAAATGAACGCATATGACGATATCAAATGATTTGTATTTAGGTCAATAAAGGAACATCATGTTATCTCATTGGCACTCATGTCACATCTTCTTATACAAGTACACGTAAAAAATAAACATATGACGTCTGTAATGTAACCATCTATTAATATAAAAATAAGGGGATGTGGTATGAATGCAAGTCAGACAACTATCCACCACAGTTCAAATGAGGAGAATAATAGGCATCCGTATGGTTTTAAAAAATGAGAAAAGAAACCCATATCGTACAGCTGGATATAAAATACCCCAACATGTAAATTATGAAAAAAAATCAATCAAAAAAATTAAAGTTTTAATTAATACAATTTTTTTTTTTTAAAATGCATTGTTGTACAGATACATAAAAAATGTTGCGAGGTAAAACTCATCAGACCAATAAAAAGAATAAAAAATAAAAACATATTTCAAACTCACAAACCGGACGTGGCAGGGAATTAATACATCATTAAACATCATTCAAAACAAACAAAAAACAAAAAAAGACAAAAAATATAGATCTGTGAGTACTCGCAGTGGCTTACGGCTTGTTCAAAACTAATTAAATTTAATCCATATTTATATACAAAAACAATGCTCAAAGTCACTGTGTTCATATTGGTAACCTTTTAGAATAAGTTTATATTAAGGACTGATATTTTTTCCTGGATACAGTATCTAAACTTCCAGGCTTGGTAAGCGACATAACCGTTAAAATAAGAATGCGCTATTCCGTTTAAAATAAGTTTTCTACATTACAGCAAGACTTGTAAACCAAATCTAAGGGTCTATGGAAGTATTGAGTTAAGGTTTTGGGTACTTTATTATAACGAAATCCTTGACTTAATGATATGCCTGAAAACATATTTTACGATTATTGACATCCAAAACGTCACTACAGGCACAGGAATAGCCAACGAGTTGGGATATATAAACACCGTAAGACGGTTCCAAAGGAACATCACCATCCATAAAAAACAATTAACGGTAGTGGAAAAACAACAGTTCCTTTACTCGTACATTTGTTGTTTAGAGTTTCTCATGTACAACATAAACAACTGAACTATTGTAACCTAGGAAAGGACACTTTTTGCTGTTACTTTTTGATTCATTTAGAGTAAGTTTCTTTTGGCTAAATTTCGGCAGTAAATACGGAAATCTCTCGATTATTGAACGAAAAACATCATCAAGATAATGGTTAGTATTATTGAAATGCATTTAGACGGACACCTCATGAAGGCAGAGATCAAATAATAGTTTACGTTGTTTTGAGTCGTTTATGTAACCAATAAAAAGTGTTAACCTTCATTTTTACAGACAAGGCTTCAACCTGAGCTGTGGTATTGCCATTATTATTTGCATTTTGACTCACTGTAGAGCGCACGGGCTTGAATGAGTTATATACACAATTTCATTCTTCAAGACTTCCGTGTAGTATTTAAGTCATAATACTATTGGCTCCTTTTTCGGCCTGTACGAACACAAAACGCTTTGCGAGAACTTGAATTTTACAACAATAAATGGTCAAAATACTTATTCTTGTATTTATTTCTTAGTTATTTTGCCAGTTCACTAAACAGACACATAGCGAACACGTGTTTCTTAAATAAACATTAGATATTTTCATTTAGATCATTGAGTTATCAAAATAGCGGATATTGGAGAAGACAAGGAAATATGAAGAAATAGTGACAATATCCGTTTGGTTAACATAAATGTTTTGTCTCCATCCTAAGATAACTCTTTCTTAAATAGCAGTCTACAAATGGTAACAAAAAGTTATGAAAATGTCATTCTATATATTCTGGTTTTCTTTCGGATTAGGTTGTCACTAAATGTTTAATTGACTGCAGATTTAGGAATGCACATTTTCATGTGACATAAATATGGACCATGTTTGTTCTAGACTGAAACTCTCTGCAGGAACTATAACTTGCAAGTTCACAATGCAACAGTCTGGTAGAAAATAATATCTCCCTACTCGGACACTTTATACTGTCTCTGTTCCGACCACTTTTTGCTTTACTCCAAAAGTCGTTTGTTTGGCGAAAAAGAATCTAACAAAATTTTCAAAGCCGGTATGTTTACCCGATTATGAATCAAATGAACAAGCTCTCGCACTCGAGATGGGCATGTTATAACGAGACTACTGAGGTGATGAACATTGTAAGGCATAAATTCTTTAGTTTTCAAACTTAATGCAATTTGTAAAAAACTCAAAAACAAATATCAAAATAGACACATTTTAAGTAATTGCTAGTTTCATTTAGGGATGAGCAAGAGCATTGCCAAAAAAGATAGTTTTTAGTGGCAACACATTTTGTATAAACTAAAAATAACAATAACATTATAATGTAAGCAATGTTGTTTTTTCTATCTTACCAAGAAGATTAGAGAAGGGAGAATAAAATCAAACATGTCAAATATTAATGATCTTATGATGACCTAAAATACAGTTACAAGTATGCACTTACGTATCTAGGCAATATTCATACACAGATAAGGAATTGTAAAAATCTTAATGATTGTGTAATGTTCAGGCGACTATCGTGAACAGGCTGGCAAATATTTCTCCTATTGCATCATATGCATTGTGACCTAAATAAGTTTAACACAATTCGGTGAAACTGAATAATGCTATTGTCTATTCAGTCTATCAAGACTTATACGTTACCGTAAGCAGTATTTAGTGTGTGGTATTTCATATAATTCAAAGGTAAAGAAAAAGTATTATTTATCTTCTTTTACATTCCATTCACTTTTCGAAAAAAAAACCATTTAATACAATCACTTATAAGTACATGTACTGCGCTAAAGTATCTTCTTAACTGTATTATGTTTGCTTTGAGACATTGAGACAGTAGTTCCATTGCAATTCGGTTCTGTGTTTTAGTTTTCCAATACAATAGTCATTTGCATTCTTAGACGATTGCTTCGAACGTTTGTTTTGAACAAAATCATACCTTCATCTTCTGTTTGACAGCTAAGAAAACAATGGACACCAACATCGTAATTGTGACGACAGCCTGATGTATCGGCATTGTATGTACAATTCAGCAATTTACTTTCTGAACCAGTGCAAGCTAATCGATTTAACCAAATGGTGCCTTCACCATCTTGTACGTGACTTGACGGAATCTTGATTCCTGAACTATAGATAAGTGATATACTTGAAATTCAAATGCACTACTTTCCGTTCAGGGATCTTCATTTTGTCAAGTATTTTCAATGTTCAGTTGAACTCATAAAGAATATTTCAACAACGATTCATACAACGACAGTTATAGGGAGAAACTATTTAATTTGCCAGTAAATCAAGTAAACTAAAACATCAGCTTAGTACTTGGTGACGCGGTGTCTCTTAAACAATCAAGAAACTTGCTGGAAATGATGAAAAGATAAACATGATGAGGAAAAAGGTGATTTAGAGAAACTATGAAATCCAGGGTAGTTTACTGTGTCGCTACAAGTACAAATCAAGTACATGTAAGTCTGCTGGAAGCAAATTAGGTGCGATATTGTTAATTACTACAGTTCGTAATTATTTTTAAATGCAATTCTAACTTTCAACACTTCTTGATTTACGAAGCTATTTTTCCCTAATTCCATTCATTAATATATGTATGTAAAATACATGTTTTTATTTAAACAATTTTCAAAATTTAACCTATACAGTTAATTGTTCGCCCCAAAAAAAATTGTTTCTTTTTTCTGCGCAATCTGTTTTTGCAATTGCAAAATGCTTGTGCAGTTGCGCATAGATACTCAAAAAAACAAACATGTCTTGTGTGTCAACTTGACCATTAAATGTTCTACGTTGTCATTTGAAGATTATTTTTCAATTATTATTTAGTTGAATTACAATTAGAATTACAAGTTTATCAACAGTGTCGAGTACTTTATTAAGTTCATATAAACGGGAAACAATATTCTAATTTTTTGTAATAAATAATTATCAAATACAGTTTTAATGAACGTATAGCTATTTATGATAGTACTACTAAATATGTTTGTTCTGAACAAAACGTATCTGTCGGTTGTGATGGTCCATATTAAACCCATTAATCGGAAGTATTGTCAACAAATCTACTTAGACAGATCAACATAACTTTCAATAAAGAGGAATTTATTTTAAATCAATTGACTAAAAAAATCTATTAATAGTGTGTAAATTGGAATACAATGATTGTCCTGTACTTTTAAACTTACATACTGAACTCCACAATATAAATACATTTTCGAAATACGTATATGATACATCACTTATGTATGTAGCATGTAATTTAAGATCCTTTCATTTTATATAATATACGGATTGCATCATGAAAGAATGTGTTATTTTACTACCTTTAAAGGAAATTCATAGGAACCAAGATTTAAAAGTCAATAATTGTCTTTCTTCTTTTATTTTCATCGGCTTTGATATATGCCTAAGCTTATTGCTAACTGACTGCCTTCGTTTATCATATTTGGAACTAATCGTATGATATCGAGTGGCTGTTTCTTATTTCAAATATAGCTGTTGAATAAAACCTTCCAATCGTTCGATGTTATATTTTGAATTTTGAATTTTAATCCCTAGAAAGTTCTTTGTAAATTAAGTACAACTACTGATGAAGAAACTGATTGAAATTAGTTTTTGGAATTTGATATTCTACTATAAACGCATTACGCACCAATAACCCATCTGTCTACATGCTACTGCTGCGTCAACATTATCAAAGTTCCAATCACACACTGTTCCCCATTCACCTGCATAATTTATTTCCAGTCGTCCTTTATTCACAGCGAAACTCGAATTGAAACGCAAATCACCTACAATGAAGATTCAGTCATTAATACCAGAAAAACCTTTAGTGACAGTTGTTTCATTCTTTGTGTATTCATATGACAAACATTTACTTGTTTAAACTAGTTTGATATATTGCTTTGAGTATAGGTTGTTGTTTCTATAGTACTGCTCATAATTACGTTTACAATCAGAATTATCGTGTTATCTGCAAGCTAAAACACAAAATGTGATTTTATGTTTAAAAATATTTTGTTATTTTTCGTGCAATTTTATGCTTACTTGTTTTGAAATTTTCATTTTGGTTCTTGTGTGTGTGTTTTCCTGGGTTTGATTGTAGTATTTTGTGTTGGTTGTTCTTCTTTTATTAAATTTTCATATAATTTGCAATCAAGGTCCTTCAAATTTTTTTGAAAATTAAACGTACAGTGTATACGTCAAACATCATCACTTCCTGAAGAAAGAGTACCCAATATGCATACACAGAAAACGAATTGTTAAAATCTTAATGATTGTGTAATGTTCAGGCGGTTTTCGTGGACAGGTTTGCAAATATTTCTCCTATTGCATCATGTGCACTGTGACCTAAACTTTTTTAACACAATTCGGTGAAACTGAATAATGTTATTGTCTATTCAGTCTATCAGTACTTATACGTTATCGTAAGCAGTATTTAGTGTGTGGTATTTCATATAATTCAAAGGTGAAGAAAAAGTATTGTTCATCTTCTTTTACATTTCATTTACTTTTCGAAAAAAAAAACATTTTAATCACTATCACGTATAAGTACATGTACTGCGCTAAAGTATCTTCTTAACTGTACTATGTTTGCTGTGAGAAATTGAGACAGTAATTCCATAGGAATTCGGTTCTGAGTTTTCGTTTTCCAATACATTAGTCATTTGCATTCTTAGCGCTTGCTTCGAACGTTTTTTTTTAACAAAATCATACCTTCATCTTCTGTTTGACAGCTAAGAAAACAATGGACACCAACATCGTAATTGTGACGACAGCCTGATGTATCGGCATTGTATGTACAATTCAGCAATTTACTTTCTGAACCAGTGCAAGCTAATTGATTTAACCAAATGGTGCCTTCACCATCTTGTACGTGACTTGACGGAATCTTGATTCCTGAACTATAGATAAGTGATATACTTGAAATTCAAATGCACTACTTTCCGTTCAGGGATCTTCATTTTGTCAAGTATTTTCAATGTTCAGTTGAACTCATAAAGAATATTTTAACAACGATTCATACAACGACAGTTATAGGGAGAAACTATTTAATTTGCCAGTAAATCAAGTAAACTAAAACATCAGCTTAGTACTTGGTGACGCGGTGTCTCTTAAACAATCAAGGAACTTGCTGGGAAATGATGAAAAGATAAACATGATGAGGAAAAAGGTGATTTAGAGAAACTATGAAATCCAGGGTAGTTTACTGTGTCGCTACAAGTACCAATCATGTACATGTAAGTCTGCTGGAAGCAAATTAGGTGCGATGTTGTTAATAACTACAATTCGTAATTATTTTTAAATGCAATTCTAACTTTCAACACTTCTTGATTTACGAATCTGTTTTTCCCCAAATCCATTAATTGATATATGTATCTTTAATACTTGTTTTTATTCAAACAGTAATCAAAATTAAACCTATACATTTAATTGTTCGCCCCAAAAAAACTTGTTTCTTTATTCTGCGCAATCTGTTTTTGCAATTGCAAAAAGCTTGTGTATTTGCGCATAGCTACTCACAAAAACATATATGTATTTTGTGTCAACTTGACCGCCAAATGTTGTCATTTGAAGATAACTTTCAATTATTATTTAGTTAAATTACAATTAGAATTACCAGTTTATCAACAGTGTCGAGTACTTTTATTATTAAGTTCATATAAGCGGGAAACAATATTTTTATTTTTTGTAAAAAATAATTATCAAATACAGTTTTAATGAACGTATAGCTATTTTTAACAGTACTACTTAATATATTTGTTCTGAACAAAACGTATTTGTCGGTTGTAATGGTCCATACTAAACCCATTAATCGGAAGTATTGTCAACAAATGTACTTAGACAGATCGACATAACTTTCCATGAAGAGGAATTTATTTTAAATCAATTGACTAAACAAATCTATTAATAGTGTGTAAATTGGAATATAATGATTGTCCTGTACTTTTTAACTTACATACTGAACTCCACAATATAAATACATTTCCCAAATTCGTATATGATACATCACGTATGTATGTAGCATGTAATTTAAGATCATTTCATTTTATATAATATACGGATTGTATCATGAAAGAATGTGATATTTTACTACCTTTAAAGAGAATTCATAGGAACCAAGATTTAAAAGTCAATAATTGTCTTTTTTCTTTTAATTTCATCGGCTTTGATATATTCCTAAGCTTATTGCTAACTGACTGCCTTCGATTATCATATTTGGAACTAATCGTATGATATCGAGTGGCTGTTTCTTATTTCAAATATAGCTGTCGAATAAAACCTTCCAATCGTTCGATGTTATATTTTGAATTTTGAATTTTAATCCCTAGAAAGTTCTTTGTAAATTAAGTACAACTACTGATGAAGAAACTGATTGAAATTAGTTTTTGGAATTTGATATTCTACTATAAACGCATTACGCACCAATATCCCATCTGTCTACATGCTACTGCTGCGTCCACATTATCAAAGTTCCAATCACATACTGTTCCCCATTCACCTGCATAATTTATTTCTAGTCGTCCTTTATTCACCGCGAAACTCGAATTGAAACGCAAATCACCTACAATGAAGATTCAGTCATTAAAACCAGAAAAACCTTTAGTGAGAGTTGAATCACTCTTTGTGTCTTCATATGACAAACATTTACTTATTTAAACTAGTTTGATATATTGCTTTGAGTATAGGTTGTTTTTGTTCCATAGTACTGCCTCATAATTACGTTTACAATCAAAATTATCGTGTTATCTGTAAGCTAAAACAAAAAATGTAATTTAATTTTTAAAAATATTTTGTTATTTTTCGTGCATTTTTATGCTTACTTGTTTTGAAATTTTCATTTTGCTTCTTGTGTGTGTTTTCCTGGGTTTGATTGTAGTATTTTGTGTTGGTTGTTCTTCTTTTATTAAATTTTCATATAATTTGCAATCAATTTCCTCCAAGATTTTTTGGAAAATTTAACGTACAGTGTATACGTCAAACATCATCGCTTCCCGAAAAAAGAGTAACTAATATGCATACACAGATAAAAAATTGTAAAAATCTTAATAAGTGTGTAATGTTCAGGCGGTTATCGTGAATAAGCTTGCCAATATTTCTCCTATTGCATCATATGCATTGTTAACTAAATATGTTTAACACAATTCGTTCAACTGAATAATGATATTGTCTATTCAGTCTATCAGTACTTATACGTTACCGTAAGCTATATTTAGTGTGTGGTATTTCATATGATCCAAATGTAAAGAAAAAGTATTATTTATCTTCTTTTACATTTCGTTCACTTTTCGAAAAAAAAATATTTAATCACAATCACCTATAAGTACATGTACTGCGCTAAAGTATCTTCTTAACTGTATTATGTTTGCTCTGTGAAATTGAGACAGTAATTCCATAGGAATTCGGTTCTGTGTTTTAGTTTTCCAATACAATAGTCATTTGCATTCTTAGACGATGGCTTTGAACGTTTGTTTTGGACAAAATCATACCTTCATCTTCTGTTTGACAGCTAAGAAAACAATGGACACCAACATCGTAATTGTGACGACAGCCTGATGTATCGGCATTGTATGTACAATTCAGCAATTTACTTTCTGAACCAGTGCAAGCTAATCGATTTAACCAAATGGTGCCTTCACCATCTTGTACGTGACTTGACGGAATCTTGATTCCTGAACTATAGATAAGTGATATACTTGAAATTCAAATGCACTACTTTCCGTTCAGGGATCTTCATTTTGTCAAGTATTTTCAATGTTCAGTTGAACTCATAAAGAATATTTCAACAACGATTCATACAACGACAGTTATAGGGAGAAACTATTTAATTTGCCAGTAAATCAAGTAAACTAAAACATCAGCTTAGTACTTGGTGACGCGGTGTCTCTTAAACAATCAAGGAACTTGCTGGGAAATGATGAAAAGATAAACATGATGAGGAAAAAGGTGATTTAGAGAAACTATGAAATCCAGGGTAGTTTACTGTGTCGCTTTAAGTACCAATCATGTACATGTAAGTCTGCTGGAAGCAAATTAGGTGCGATATTGTTAATTACTACAGTTCGTAATTATTTTTAAATGCAATTCTAACTTTCAACACTTCTTGATTTACGAAGCTATTTTTCCCTAATTCCATTCATTAATATAAGTATGTAAAATACATGTTTTTATTTAAACAATTTTCAAAATTTAACCTATACAGTTAATTGTTCGCCCCCAAAAAAATTGTTTCTTTTTTCTGCGCAATCTGTTTTTGCAATTGCAAAATGGTTGTGCAGTTGCGCATAGCTACTCAAAAAAAACAAACATGTCTTGTGTGTCAACTTGACCATTAAATGTTCTACGTTGTCATTTGAAGATTATTTTTTAATTATTATTTAGTTGAATTACAATTAGAATTACAAGTTTATCAACAGTGTCGAGTACTTTATTAAGTTCATATAAGCGGGAAACAATATTCTTATTTTTTGTAATAAATAATTATCAAATACAGTTTTAATGAACGTATAGCTATTTATGATAGTACTACTAAATATGTTTGTTCTGAACAAAACGTATCTGTCGGTTGTGATGGTCCATATTAAACCCATTAATCGGAAGTATTGTCAACAAATCTACTTAGACAGATCAACATAACTTTCAATAAAGAGGAATTTATTTTAAATCAATTGACTAAAAAAATCTATTAATAGTGTGTAAATTGGAATACAATGATTGTCCTGTACTTTTAAACTTACATACTGAACTTCACAATATAAATACATTTTCGAAATACGTATATGATACATCACTTATGTATGTAGCATGTAATTTAAGATCATTTCATTTTATATAATATACGAATTGCATCATGAAAGAATGTGTTATTTTACTACCTTTAAAGGGAATTCATAGGAACCAAGATTTAAAAGTCAATAATTGTCTTTCTTCTTTTATTTTCATCGGCTTTGATATATGCCTAAGCTTATTGCTAACTGACTGCCTTCATTTATCATATTTGGAACTAATCGTATGATATCGAGTGGCTGTTTCTTATTTCAAATATAGCTGTTGAATAAAACCTTCAAATCGTTCGATGTTATATTTTGAATTTTGAATTTTAATCCCTAGAAAGTTCTTTGTAAATTAAGTACAACTACTGATGAAGAAACTGATTGAAATTAGTTTTTGGAATTTGATATTCTACTATAAACGCATTACGCACCAATAACCCATCTGTCTACATGCTACTGCTGCGTCCACATTATCAAAGTTCCAATCACACACTGTTCCCCATTCACCTGCATAATTTATTTCCAGTCGTCCTTTATTCACAGCGAAACTCGAATTGAAACGCAAATCACCTACAATGAAGATTCAGTCATTAAAACCAGAAAAACCTTTAGTGACAGTTGTTTCATTCTTTGTGTATTCATATGACAAACATTAACTTGTTTAAACTAGTTTGATATATTGCTTTGAGTATAGGTTGTTGTTTCTATAGTACTGCTCATAATTACGTTTACAATCAGAATTATCGTGTTATCTGTAAGCTAAAACACAAAATGTGATTTTATTTTTAAAAATATTTTGTTATTTTTCGTGCAATTTTATGCTAACTTGTTTTGAAATTTTCATTTTGGTTCTTGTGTGTGTGTTTTCCTGGGTTTGATTGTAGTATTTTGTGTTGGTTGTTCTTCTTTTATTAAATTTTCATATAATTTGCAATCAAGGTCCTTCAAATTTTTTTGAAAATTAAACGTACAGTGTATACGTCAAACATCATCACTTCCTGAAGAAAGAGTACCCAATATGCATACACAGAAAACGAATTGTTAAAATCTTAATGATTGTGTCATGTTCAGGCGGTTTTCGTGGACAGGCTTGCAAATATTTCTCCTATTGCATCATGTGCATTGTGACCTAAACTTTTTTAACACAATTCGGTGAAACTGAATAATGTTATTGTCTATTCAGTCTATCAGTACTTATACGTTATCGTAAGCAGTATTTAGTGTGTGGTATTTCATATAATTCAAAGGTGAAGAAAAAGTATTGTTCATCTTCTTTTACATTTCATTTACTTTTCGAAAAAAAAAACATTGTAATCACTATCACGTATAAGTACATGTACTGCGCTAAAGTATCTTCTTAACTGTACTATGTTTGCTGTGAGAAATTGAGACAGTAATTCCATAGGAATTCGGTTCTGAGTTTTCGTTTTCCAATACATTAGTCATATGCATTCTTAGCGCTTGCTTCGAACGTTTTTTTTTAACAAAATCATACCTTCATCTTCTGTTTGACAGCTAAGAAAACAATGGACACCAACATCGTAATTGTGACGACAGCCTGATGTATCGGCATTGTATGTACAATTCAGCAATTTACTTTCTGAACCAGTGCAAGCTAATTGATTTAACCAAATGGTGCCTTCACCATCTTGTACGTGACTTGACGGAATCTTGATTCCTGAACTATAGATAAATGATATACTTGAAATTCAAATGCACTACTTTCCGTTTAGGGATCTTCATTTTGTCAAGTATTTTCAATGTTCAGTTGAACTCATAAAGAATGTTTCAACAACGATTCATAAAACGACAGTTATAGGGAGAAACTATTTAATTTGCCAGTAAATCAAGTAAACTAGAACATCAGCTTAGTACTTGGTGACGCGGTGTCTCTTAAACAATCAAGGAACTTGCTGGAAATGATGAAAAGATAAACATGATGAGGAAAAAGGTGATTTAGAGAAACTATGATATCCAAGATAGTTTACTGTGTCGCTACAAGTACCAATCATGTACATGTAAGTCTGCTGGAAGCAAATTAGGTGCGATGTTGTTAATAACTACAATTCGTAATTATTTTTAAATGCAATTCTAACTTTCAACACTTCTTGATTTACGAATCTGTTTTTCCCCAAATCCATTAATTGATATATATATCTTTAATACTTGTTTTTATTCAAACAGTAATCAAAATTAAACCTTTACATTTAATTGTTCGCCCCAAAAAAACTTGTTTCTTTATTCTGCGCAATCTGTTTTTGCAATTGCAAAAAGCTTGTGTAGTTGCGCATAGCTACTCACAAAAACATATATGTATTTTGTGTCAACTTGACCGCCAAATGTTGTCATTTGAAGATAACTTTCAATTATTATTTAGTTAAATTACAATTAGAATTACCAGTTTATCAACAGTGTCGAGTACTTTTATTATTAAGTTCATATAAGCGGGAAACAATATTTTTATTTTTTGTAAAAAATAATTATCAAATACAGTTTTAATGAACCTATAGCTATTTTTAACAGTACTACTTAATATATTTGTTCTGAACAAAACGTATTTGTCGGTTGTAATGGTCCATACTAAACCCATTAATCGGAAGTATTTTCAACAAATGTACTTAGACAGATCGACATAACTTTCCATGCAGAGGAATTTATTTTAAATCAATTGACTAAACAAATCTATTAATAGTGTGTAAATTGGAATATAATGATTGTCCTGTACTTTTTAACTTACATACTGAACTCCACAATATAAATCTATTTCCCAAATTCGTATATGATACATCACGTATGTATGTAGCATGTAATTTAAGATCATTTCATTTTATATAATATACGGATTGTATCATGAAAGAATGTGATATTTTACTACCTTTAAAGAGAATTCATAGGAACCAAGATTTAAAAGTCAATAATTGTCTTTTTTCTTTTAATTTCATCGGCTTTGATATATGCCTAAGCTTATTGCTAACTGACTGCCTTTGATTATCATATTTGGAACTAATCGTATGATATCGAGTGGCTGTTTCTTATTTCAAATATAGCTGTCGAATAAAACCTTCCAATCGTTCGATGTTATATTTTGAATTTTGAATTTTAATCCCTAGAAAGTTCTTTGTAAATTAAGTACAACTACTGATGAAGAAACTGATTGAAATTAGTTTTTGGAATTTGATATTCTACTATAAACGCATTACGCACCAATATCCCATCTGTCTACATGCAACTGCTGCGTCCACATTATCAAAGTTCCAATCACATACTGTTCCCCATTCACCTGCATAATTTATTTCCAGTCGTCCTTTATTCACCGCGAAACTCGAATTGAAACGTAAATCACCTACAATGAAGATTCAGTCATTAAAACCAGAAAAACCTTTAGTGAGAGTTGATTCACTCTTTGTGTATTCATATGACAAACATTTACTTATTTAAATTAGTTTGATATTTTGCTTTGAGTATAGGTTGTTTTCCTATATTACTGCCTCATAATTACGTTTACAATTAGAATTATCGTGTTATCTGTAAGCTAAAACAAAAAACGTAATTTAATTATTAGAAATATTTTGTTATTTTTCGTGCATTTTTATGCTTACTTGTTTTGAAATTTTCATTTTGGTTCTTGTGTGTGTTTTCCTGGGTTTGATTGTAGTATTTTGTGTTGGTTGTTCTTCGTTTATTAAGTTTTCATATAATTTGCAATAAAGGTCCTTCAAGAATTTTTGGAAAATTAAACGTACAGTGTATACGTCAAACATAATCGCTTCCTGAAGAAAGAGTAACCAGTATGCATACACAGATAAAGAATTGTAAAAATCTTAATGATTGTGTAATGTTCAGGCGGTTATCGTAAACAGGCTTGCAAATATTTCTCCTATTGCATCATGTGCATTGTGACCTAAACATGTTTAACACAATTCGGTGAAACTGAATAATGATATTGTCTATTCAGTCTATCAATACTTATACGTTACCGTAAGCAGTATTTAGTGTGTGGTATTTCATATAATTCAAAGGTGAAGAAAAAGTATTATTTATCTTCTTTTACATTTCATTCGCGTTTCGAAAAAAAAAAACATTTAATCAAAATCACCTATAAGTACATGTACTGCTCTAAAGTATCTTCTTAACTGTATTATGTTTGCTTTGAGACATTGAGACAGTAGTTCCATAGGAATTCGGTTCTGTGTTTTAGTTTTCCAATACAATAGTCATTTGCATTCTTAGACGATTGCTTCGAACGTTTGTTTTGAACAAAATCATACCTTCATCTTCTGTTTGACAGCTAAGAAAACAATGGACACCAACATCGTAATTGTGACGACAGCCTGATGTATCGGCATTGTATGTACAATTCAGCAATTTACTTTCTGAACCAGTGCAAGCTAATCGATTTAACCAAATGGTGCCTTCACCATCTTGTACGTGACTTGACGGAATTTTGATTCCTGAACTATAGATAAATGATATACTTGAAATTCAAATGCACTACTTTCCGTTTAGGGATCTTCATTTTGTCAAGTATTTTCAATGTTCAGTTGAACTCATAAAGAATATTTCAACAACGATTCATACAACGACAGTTATAGGGAGAAACTATTTAATTTGCCAGTAAATCAAGTAAACTAGAACATCAGCTTAGTACTTGGTGACGCGGTGTCTCTTAAACAATCAAGAAACTTGCTGGGAAATGATGAAAAGATAAACATGATGAGGAAAAAGGTGATTTAGAGAAACTATGATATCCAGGGTAGTTTACTGTGTCGCTACAAGTACCAATCATGTACATGTAAGTCTGCTGGAAGCAAATTAGGTGCGATATTGTTAATTACTACAATTCGTAATTATTTTTAAATGCAATATTTACTTTCAACACTTCTTGATTTACGAATCTATTTTCCCCTATTCCATTAATTGATATATGTATCTTTAATACTTGTTTTTATTAACACAGTAATCAAAATTAAACATATACATTTAATTGTTCGCCCAAAAACAAACTTGTTTCTTTATTCTGCGCAATCTGTTTTTGCAATTGCAAAAAGGTTGTGCAGTTGCGCATAGCTACTCACAAAAACAAACATTATTTTGTGTCAACTTGACCGCCAAATGTTCTACGTTGTCATTTGAAGATTACTTTTCAATTATTATTTAGTTGAATTACAATTAGAATAACAAGTTTATCAACAGTGTCGAGTACTTTATTAAGTTCATGTAAGCGGGAAACAATATTCTTATTTTTCGTAATGAATAGTTATCAAATACCGTTTTAATGAACGTATAGCTATTTATGATAGTACTACTAAATATATTTGTTCTGAACAAAACGTATCTGTCGGTTGTAATGGTCCATATTAAACCCATTAATCGGAAGTATTATCAACAAATGTACTTAGACAGATTGACATAACGTTCCATGAAGAGGAATTTATTTTATTTCAATTGACTAAAAAATCTATTAATAGTGTGTAAATTGGAATACAATGATTGTCCTGTACTTTCAAACTTACATACTGAACTCCACAATATAAATACATTTTCGAAATACGTATATGATACATCACTTATGTATGTAGCATGTAATTTAAGATCATTTCATTTTATATAGTATACGGATTGCATCATGACAGATTGTGTTATTTTACTACCTTTAAAGAGTATTCATAGAAACCTAGATTTAAAAGTCATCAGCTTTGATATATGCTCAAGCTTATTGCTAACTGACTGCCTTTGATTATCATATTTGGAACTAATCGTATGATATCGAGTGGTTGTTTCTTATTTAAAATATAGCTGTCGAATAAAACCTTCCAATCGTTCAATGTTATCTTTTGAACTTCGAATTTTAATCCCTAGAAAGTTCTTTGTAAATTAGGTACAACTACTAATGAGGGAACTGATTGAAATTAGTTTTTGGAATTTGTTATTCTAAGATACACGCATTACACACCAATATCCCATCTGTCTACATGCTACTGCTGCATCAACATTATCAAAGTTCCAATCACATACTGTTCCCCATTCACCTGCATAATTTATTTCTAGTCGTCCTTTATTCACAGCGAAACTCGAATTGAAACGTAAATCACCTACAATGAAGATTCAGTCATTAAAACCAGAAAAACCTTTAGTGACAGTTGTTTCACTCTTTGTGTATTCATATGACAAACATTTACTTATTTAAACTAGTTTAATATTTTGCTTTGAGTATAGGTTGTTTTCCTATAGTACTGCCTCATAATTACGTTTACAATTAGAATTATCGTGTTATCTGTAAGCTAAAACAAAAAACGTAATTTAATTATTAAAAATATTTTGTTATTTTTCGTGCATTTTTATGCTTACTTGTTTTGAAATTTTCATTTTGGTTCTTGTGTGTGTTTTCCTGGGTTTGATTGTAGTATTTTGTGTTGGTTGTTCTTCGTTTATTAAATTTTCATATAATTTGCAATAAAGGTCCTTCAAGAATTTTTGGAAAATTAAACGTACAGTGTATACGTCAAACATAATCGCTTCCTGAAGAAAGAGTAACCAGTATGCATACACAGATAAAGAATTGTAAAAATCTTAATGATTGTGTAATGTTCAGGCGGTTATCGTAAACAGGCTTGCAAATATTTCTCCTATTGCATCATGTGCATTGTGACCTAAACATGTTTAACACAATTCGGTGAAACTGAATAATGATATTGTCTATTCAGTCTATCAATACTTATACGTTACCGTAAGCAGTATTTAGTGTGTGGTATTTCATATAATTCAAAGGTGAAGAAAAAGTATTATTTATCTTCTTTTACATTTCATTCGCGTTTCGAAAAAAAAACATTTAATCAAAATCACCTATAAGTACATGTACTGCGCTAAAGTATCTTCTTAACTGTATTATGTTTGCTTTGAGACATTGAGACAGTAGTTCCATAGAAATTCGGTTCTGTGTTTTAGTTTTCCAATACAATAGTCATTTGCATTCTTAGACGATTGCTTCGAACGTTTGTTTTGAACAAAATCATACCTTCATCTTCTGTTTGACAGCTAAGAAAACAATGGACACCAACATCGTAATTGTGACGACAGCCTGATGTATCGGCATTGTATGTACAATTCAGCAATTTACTTTCTGAACCAGTGCAAGCTAATCGATTTAACCAAATGGTGCCTTCACCATCTTGTACGTGACTTGACGGAATCTTGATTCCTGAACTATAGATAAGTGATATACTTGAAATTCAAATGCACTACTTTCCGTTCAGGGATCTTCATTTTGTCAAGTATTTTCAGTGTTCAGTTGAACTCATAAAGAATATTTTAACAAATTTCATACAACGACAGTTATAGGGAGAAACTATTTAATTTGCCAGTAAATCAAGTAAACTAAAACATCAGCTTAGTACTTGGTGACGCGGTGTCTCTTAAACAATCAAGGAACTTGCTGGAAATGATGAAAAGATAAACATGATGAGGAAAAAGGTGATTTAGAGAAACTATGATATCCAGGGTAGTTTACTGTGTCGCTACAAGTACCAATCATGTACATGTAAGTCTGCTGGAAGCAAATTAGGTGCGATGTTGTTAATAACTACAATTCGTAATTATTTTTAAATGCAATTCTAACTTTCAACACTTCTTAATTTACGAATCTATTTTTCCCCAATTCCATAAATTGATATATGTATCTTTAATACTTGTTTTTATTCAAACAGTTATCAAAATTAAACCTATACATTTAATTGTTCGCCCCAAAAAAAACTTGTTTCTTTATTCTGCGCAAACTGTTTTTGCAATTGCAAAAAGGTTGTGCAGTTGCGCATAGCTACTCACAAAAACTAACATGTATTTTGTGTCAACTTGACCGCCAAATGTTCTACGTTGTCATTTGAAGATTACTTTTCAATTATTATTGATTAAATTACAATTAGAATTACCAGTTTATCAACAGTGTCGAGTACTTTATTAAGTTCATATAAGCGGGAAACAATATTCTTATTTTTTGTAATACATAATTATCAAATACAGTTTTAATGAACGTATAGCTATTTTTAATAGTACTACTAAATATATTTGTTCTGAACAAAACGTATCTGTCGGTTGTAGTGGTCCATACTAAACCCATTAATCGGAAGTATTACGAACAAATGTACTTAGACAGATCGACATAATTTTCCATGAAGAGGAATTTATTTTATATCAATTGACTAAAAAAATCTATTAATAATGTGTAAATTGGAATACAATGACTGTCCTGTAGTTTTAAACTTACATACTGAACTCCACAATATAAATACATTTTCGAAAAACGTGTATGATACATCACTTATGTATGTAGCATGTAATTTAATATCATTTCATTTCATATAATATACGGATTGTATCATGAAAGAATGTGTTATTTTACTACCTTTTAAGATAATTCATAGGAACCAAGATTTAAAAGTCAGTAATAGTCTTTTTTCTTTTCATTTCATCGACTTTGATATATGCCTAAGCTTATTGCTAACTGACTGCCTTCGATTATCATATTTGGAACTAATCGTATGATATCGAGTGGCTGTTTCTTTTTTCAAATATAGTTGTCGAATAAAACCTTCCAATCGTTCGATGTTATATTTTGAATTTTGAATTTTAATCCCTAGAAAGTTCTTTGTAAATTAAGTACAACTACTGATGCAGAAACTGATTGAAATTAGTTTTTAGAATTTGATATTCTACTATAAACGCATTACGCACCAATATCCCATCTGTCTACATGCTACTGCTGCGTCCACATTATCAAAGTTCCAATCACATACTGTTCCCCATTCACCTGCATAATTTATTTCCAGTCGTCCTTTATTCACAGCGAAACTCGAATTGAAACGTAAATCACCTACAATGAAGATTCAGTCATTAAAACCAGAAAACCTTTAGTGACAGTTGTTTCACTCTTTGTGTATTCATATGACAAACATTTACTTATTTAAACTAGTTTGATATATTGCTTTCAGTATAGGTTGTTTTTCCTATAGTACTGCCTCATAATTACGTTTACAATCAGAATTATCGTGTTATCTGTAAGCTAAAACAAAAAACGTAATTTAATTATTAAAAATATTTTGTTATTTTTCGTGCATTTTTATGCTTACTTGTTTTGAAATTTTCATTTTGGTTCTTGTGTGTGTTTTCCTGGGTTTGACTGTAGTATTTTGTGTTGGTTGTTCTTTTTTTATTAAATTTTCATATAATTTGCAATAAAGGTCCTTCAAGACTTTTTGGAAAATTAAACGTACAGTGTATACGTCAAACATCATTGCTTCCTGAAGAAAGAGTAACCAATATGCATACACAGATAAAGAATTGTAAAAATCTTAATGATTGTGTAATGTTCAGGCGGTTATCGTGAACAGGCTTGCACATATTTCTCCTATTGCATCGTGTGCATTGTGACCTAAACATGTTTAACACAATTCGGTGAAACTGAATAATGATATTGTCTATTCGGTCTATCAGTACTTATACGTTACCGTGAGCAGTATTTAGTGTGTGGTATTTCATATAATTCAAAGGTGAAGAAAAAGTATTATTTATCTTCTTTTACATTTCATTCACTTTTCGAAAAAAAAAACATTTAATCACAATCACCTATAAGTACATGTACTGCGCTAAAGTATCTTCTTAACTGTACTATGTTTGCTGTGAGAAATTGAGACAGTAATTCCATAGGAATTCGGTTCTGTGTTTTAGTTTTCCAATACAATAGTCATTTGCATTCTTAAACGATTGCTTCGAACGTTTGTTTCGAACAAAATCATACCTTCATCTTCTGTTTGACAGCTAAGAAAACAATGGACACCAACATCGTAATTGTGACGACAGCCTGATGTATCGGCATTGTATGTACAATTCAGCAATTTACTTTCTGAACCAGTGCAAGCTAATCGATTTAACCAAATGGTGCCTTCACCATCTTGTACGTGACTTGACGGAATCTTGATTCCTGAACTATAGATAAGTGATATACTTGAAATTCAAATGCACTACTTTCCGTTCAGGGATCTTCATTTTGTCAAGTATTTTCAATGTTCAGTTGAACTCATAAAGAATATTTCAACAACGATTCATACAACGACAGTTATAGGGAGAAACTATTTAATTTGCCAGTAAATCAAGTAAACTAAAACATCAGCTTAGTACTTGGTGACGCGGTGTCTCTTAAACAATCAAGGAACTTGCTGGGAAATGATGAAAAGATAAACATGATGAGGAAAAAGGTGATTTAGAGAAACTATGATATCCAGGGTAGTTTACTGTGTCGCTACAAGTACCAATCATGTACATGTAAGTCTGCTGGAAGCAAATTAGGTGCGATGTTGTTAATAACTACAATTCGTAATTATTTTTAAATGCAATTCTAACTTTCAACACTTCTTAATTTACGAATCTATTTTTCCCCAATTCCATAAATTGATATATGTATCTTTAATACTTGTTTTTATTCAAACAGTTATCAAAATTAAACCTATACATTTAATTGTTCGCCCAAAAAAAAAAACTTGTTTCTTTATTCTGCGCAAACTGTTTTTGCAATTGCAAAAAGGTTGTGCAGTTGCGCATAGCTACTCACAAAAACTAACATGTATTTTGTGTCAACTTGACCGCCAAATGTTCTACGTTGTCATTTGAAGATTACTTTTCAATTATTATTGATTAAATTACAATTAGAATTACCAGTTTATCAACAGTGTCGAGTACTTTATTAAGTTCATATAAGCGGGAAACAATATTCTTATTTTTTGTAATAAATAATTATCAAATACAGTTTTAATGAACGTATAGCTATTTTTAATAGTACTACTAAATATATTTGTTCTGAACAAAACGTATCTGTCGGTTGTAGTGGTCCATACTAAACCCATTAATCGGAAGTATTACGAACAAATGTACTTAGACAGATCGACATAATTTTCCATGAAGAGGAATTTATTTTATATCAATTGACTAAAAAAATCTATTAATAATGTGTAAATTGGAATACAATGACTGTCCTGTACTTTTAAACTTACATACTGAACTCCACAATATAAATACATTTTCGAAAAACGTGTATGATACATCACTTATGTATGTAGCATGTAATTTAATATCATTTCATTTCATATAATATACGGATTGTATCATGAAAGAATGTGTTATTTTACTACCTTTTAAGATAATTCATAGGAACCAAGATTTAAAAGTCAGTAATAGTCTTTTTTCTTTTCATTTCATCGACTTTGATATATGCCTAAGCTTATTGCTAACTGACTGCCTTCGATTATCATATTTGGAACTAATCGTATGATATCGAGTGGCTGTTTCTTTTTTCAAATATAGTTGTCGAATAAAACCTTCCAATCGTTCGATGTTATATTTTGAATTTTGAATTTTAATCCCTAGAAAGTTCTTTGTAAATTAAGTACAACTACTGATGCAGAAACTGATTGAAATTAGTTTTTAGAATTTGATATTCTACTATAAACGCATTACGCACCAATATCCCATCTGTCTACATGCTACTGCTGCGTCCACATTATCAAAGTTCCAATCACATACTGTTCCCCATTCACCTGCATAATTTATTTCCAGTCGTCCTTTATTCACAGCGAAACTCGAATTGAAACGTAAATCACCTACAATGAAGATTCAGTCATTAAAACCAGAAAACCTTTAGTGACAGTTGTTTCACTCTTTGTGTATTCATATGACAAACATTTACTTATTTAAACTAGTTTGATATATTGCTTTCAGTATAGGTTGTTTTTCCTATAGTACTGCCTCATAATTACGTTTAGAATCAGAATTATCGTGTTATCTGTAAGCTAAAACAAAAAACGTAATTTAATTATTAAAAATATTTTGTTATTTTTCGTGCATTTTTATGCTTACTTGGTTTGAAATTTTCATTTTGGTTCTTGTATGTGTTTTCCTGGGTTTGATTGTAGTATTTTGTGTTGGTTGTTCTTTTTTTATTAAATTTTCATATAATTTGCAATAAAGGTCCTTCAAGATTTTTTGGAAAATTAAACGTACAGTGTATACGTCAAACATCATTGCTTCCTGAAGAAAGAGTAACCAATATGCATACACAGATAAAGAATTGTAAAAATCTTAATGATTGTGTAATGTTCAGGCGGTTAGCGTGAACAGGCTTGCACATATTTCTCCTATTGCATCGTGTGCATTGTGACCTCAACATGTTTAACACAATTCGTTGAAACTGAATAATGATGTTGTCTATTCAGTCTATCAGTACTTATACGTTACCTTAAGCAGTATTTAGTGTGTGGTATTTCATATAATTCAAAAGTGAAGAAAAAGTATTAAATATCTTCTTTTACATTTCATTCACTTTTCGAAAAAAAGATTTTAATAACAATGTACTGCGCTAAAGTATCTTCTTAACTGTACTATGTTTGCTGTGAGAAATTGAGACAGAAATTCGATAGGAAATCGCCTTTTCAGAATCTTAAGCACTATGGGTAATCTCATTATTCGTACACCAAAATGAAAATAATGTTACGTCATTAGATGGATTTCCATTGTTTAGAACGTTTTACACCAATCACAACGTTTTGGTGTACGTTTTAAGAAATATTACCCAGAATGCATTAGATTCTGAAACGGCGAATTCGGTACTGTTTTAGTTTTCCAATACAATAGTCGTTTGCATTCTTAAACGATTGTTTTGAACAAAATCATACCTTCATCTTCTGTTTGACAGCTAAGAAAACAATGGACACCAACATCGTAATTGTGACGACAGCCTGATGTATCGGCATTGTATGTACAATTCAGTAATTTACTTTCTGAACCAGTGCAGGCTAATTGATTTAACCAAATGGTGCCTTCACCATCATGTACGTGACTTGGTGGAATCTTGATTCCTGAACTATAAATAAATAAATAAATACATGAAGTGAGATATATATGCACTATATATTCCGTAGTTTAGTATGACGTCCATTATCACTTAACTAGTACACATTTTGTTTAGGGGCCAGCTGGTCAAATATATCAATTGCGAATTGTAACACATTGTAGTCATTGTATATGTATTAGTAACAATATATGCATCATTTAAGAATTTGAAAGAGTTTTAAGAGTTAATGAAATATATTAAATGCATGCCAATTTGATAAAATTCATTTTTCTGCAGTAGTCAATATACACATGTGCAAACAAATTTTATTGGATTTCGAGCATGGGTTTGTTTACAAAGTGAAAGAAGCACGTCATATTATAATCTTTAGTAGATACTTGTTCCGCTATCAACTAACATTCAACTCTAATATATGAATTGAAAATAGGAAATATAAGTGAATCATTGGTTGATATCAAAGGATTTATGAATGTGAAAAAAATTAAGAATCTTAAACCCTGGATGATCCTTCATGGATTCGGTACAAATTATGATAAAGGTACTGATTCAATTAATTTCAAGTGTTTGTGTGCTTTAAATGTTATACACACCAATATCCGAGCTGTCTACATGCTACTGCTGCATCAACATTATCAAAATGATAATCGCATACTGTTCCCCATTCACCTTCATGATATATTTCTAAACGTCCTTTATTGTTTTGAGTTGTCCAAGTTATACGCAAATCACCTGTAGATAGATATTCAAAAACGAAATTGGATTTTTATAAACGAAGACTAAATATATTTACGGAGAAATGTGTCAGATGGCAAGTATGCAAAAAAACGTTTACATATTTAAAGTAATCTTTGAGAATGATTGATGTTAACATACATTCTCATTTGCACAGTATTTGGTTCAATCAATCTCAAGAAAGTAACAAAAATGATTATTCTCTCAAAGATGTAAGAACAGCACCAAACAATGATATCAAAACTATCCTGCTATTAAATAATTAAAAGTTTGCGTTTTTATATTAATTCAGTTCAATCCAGAACATAATCTTCCGCGTAGTCATAAATGTGTTTTGGTCAAAGAGTTAGTTGACAATTCTTTTGAACTCCATATGATACAGAATTGAGAATGGAAATGGGGAATGTGTCAAAGAGCCAACAACCCGACCAAAGAGCGGAAAATTGTATTTATATTTACGTAAATGTGCACTGGAAATACAATAAGAATATCAAGTCTAAACGAATGTCAAATAAATTAAACAAACCCGATATCTGACCATTGACCTGACATGCCAATGTCATCGCAGCAAGAAGAAGGATCAGTTGATTCATTCCGCCTATAAAATAAGATATTGTTTTAATTGCAGGTTAGCAGTTGCTGCTATATTTCAGATTATTGTAACACATCAACATGTTTAATTATGAATTATCGATACCAATCAAACACATACGCAACTCATTATGATGTCATAATTTTCTTAAAACCTTATTTAAAAAAGAAAACTGTCGTAGGTTTCCACATTTTACGAAAAAATATGTTTTTGGCGATTAACATTCCGTATTGGCGAAAGAATTTGCCGAAAGAAATATAACGGTTCGACTTCGTCTATCTTTTTTACCTTTTTCTGGTTTTTCTCACTTTTTCCCTCATCAAACAATACTTGGAATTCACCTTGACCTCGTTACGATTTTGATAGAAAATCAATAATCAGCTGATTGCAATTTTTAGCTATCGGCAACTATGGATCAAAATTAATAAAGGTATTGACTGTATAGTTTAATGAAATATTGCGGTTAAAGGACATCCCATGTCACTTAAAGGATATTTTTTTTTTAATCTGTGATAGAAATTATTGTTTATAAGTGATTACTTCACAATCGTGTTAGAGCGGCACGTGTTTGTACTATAGTTTAACGCCCCATCTTTTTTACGATGACCCGGAAAAGAAAACAGTTGTTATGACGAAAAATGTTTAAAGATAAGGATAATCTCTAACTTTTAACTTTATCCTATTGCTTTGATAGAAACAATTGTTTCAAGTGGGTACTTTACACTCGTTTTAGCGACGAACCTGATTGAAGCAGAGTTTTTTATCTTAACTTTTTTTACATTGGTCCAGGAAAGAAAACTATTGTTATGAAGAAAAATATAAACAAGCCAGAACATCCTCTCACTTGAGTGTTTATCCTTCACCTAGATCGAAAATATCCGATAAACATATTATTGATTGATCATGTGTTCCCCGGCAGAAGTAAAAAATTATGATTGCAATTTACTGTATATTTTAAAACGTAATTCAGATTTTGGTTTTTATCGAATGTGAATTTGTTACAATGTAGAATAAAACAAGATATTCAGAATTATAATAGACATCAATGTGGCAAATTTTAAACAAAAAGAGTGATAATGTTAGTTGGCGAAAATAAAAACATTGAAAGTGGCGAAAAATAAGTTGTTTTTGTGAAAGAGGTGGCGAAAAAGAATATTGACCCATGGGAAACCCACATGATAGATATCAATTACAATACCATGTGACACGAGCATTGTCATATGCATAAGAGAGGTCCAAGATACCAAAATAATAGGGTTTTACTACTGAAACGGTCATTTTAAACCAAACAACTCTTAAATGCCTGAAATAACCGCAAGGAAAAATGTCAAGATCTTTTTTAGTTGTTCAGTACATGTTCAGTACACTAGCTATCGCGACGGTTAAGTACCAGTCAGTACTGGTTTAGGTAATTAAGAAAAAACGCCTAGCGTTGAATCAAGTACTGTCAAGTACATTTAAGTACACGTCAGTTCATCGATAAAATAAGTGTTTTGGAATTTTCAGGAGCGTTCAGTATCAGGTACATCTATGAATTTGGACATAAAATTGTTTGTGTAGATTCATAAGGTTTGTCTCCCTTTATTCGAGCTTTTTTTCAATACCCTGATTTCTCAATTATATTCATTTCCTTCCGTTAAAAAAAATTCTTTGTTTTGTTCAATTGTCAAAAATAAAATCTATGTGACAGTTAAATGAACCCAAATAAAACTAAATGAAATATGTCCTCGGAATTGCGTACAAATTTACCTAGCTTTAACGGCCGAAATTGGCTTTTGACAAATTTTACAAATTGTAACCTTTGAACAATTTATACTCAATTGATTAAATTGGACAATTAAACTTTGTTATTGTAAATATCAATTTTATCTATGAAATGTAGTTTTATGAGATTAAAGTTCATTAAATATCATTCAATTTGCAATGTATTTTGTTCATTTTTTAATATCAAATATACTCTATTGCAATCATAAAAAATATAGCAAGTTTTCGCATGAAAAGAAAATTTTTGATGATCGAAAATAACTTTTACAATACAAACTGTAATGTATTTCTATATATAAAGAATATGTTCCGTAATGACATGAATTTCTATTCGAGGTCTGTAAAAATACTACACACAAACGTTTGTTAGTATTTCGTTAGTTAGCAAATAAATAACATCGAAATTTATAACAGTTAAAGAATATTGTTTATACAGTCTAAAACATAAAAGGCTCCTTAAGTCTCCAACCGTTTCTGTATATTTAAAAGTCGTTAAAAAACGACGATTTTCAAATAAAATGTCCAAAAATAGTTATCAAATCCGTGAGTAAATATTTAAACCTTAGCAACAAATACCTCATGTATTGCGTATTTTAAATATTCAAAATAGTTACAATAAAATTGTTCACCCCCCAACCCCAATCCCCAACCCCCAACCCCTTACCCCCCCAAAAAAGCAAAACAAAAAAAATATGTAAGATAGCTGTTAATTGTTTTTAAATTACATGTATCATTTGGGGGTCGGCTTCGTTCTCTATTTGTTTTTTTTTTTTTATGATAAATGAAAAAAAGAGTCCAATATTTATAGCTTTGTATAAAATAAGATTTTGACCCGAATAAAAGCTCGATTTTTGTAAATTACTTTAATGAACGAGTATTTATAAATTATAATTTCCATGCCGTACAAAAAAGTACCCGGGAAATAAAAGGATAAATTCGTATATGCCCGGAAAATAAAAGGATAAATTCTTATATGCCCGGCAAATTATGACAAATACCAAATTCAATTATTATGTATACATGTATGTATATTATATAATCTTCACAACTGTATATTATTGCTTATGTTCATAAGATCATTCAACAAATTTCGAATGTCCAGGTGACCGAAAAAATAAGTCTAATATGATTGCCGTGTGCAGAATATTGTCCCTCCTCTGGTCGGTCGGCTAACTTTTTTATATTTCGAATCAAACTACATGAAATCTCAGATTTTCTTCAGGACATTGATAAGTTTGAAACAAAATCCCTTAACGGACTCATCATACACGTATACCATCCTTTAATGACGCTGTTGGTTTTTAAACAATATTTGTTTTGTGATCAAAGAAAACAAATACATTCTCACATACTATAATATACATGTGATTGCGGCAAGCAAAATTACTTTTAGTAAAACGACAAAAATCAAATATGAAATGACAAGTATAAACGGTCTGCACATCTCTGTATTGAAAAAGGAAAACGATTTGCTTTTCATTGTTGAAGGCCATACTGTGTCATACATGTCATTAATTATATACTTGTCATTGGAACTCTGATATATAGTTGTCTTACTGGCATCATACAATATCTCCTTATTTATATTTTTAATAAGATGTCACTGCCAGTGGTCATGTATAACAAATGATAATATTTCTGTTTAAATAAAATCATATATCAACATTTACTCCTCCACCAAACCGGTACGTCTAAACACTGCTAAGGACTTATAATATGCTACTAAGGACTAGAAAGGGTGCTGTTACATGCACATTGTTTTCATATTATGGTAGAGATTGATATTTAATACATAAATTCCAAATTTTATAGAAAAAGAACCACAAATAAATGAGTAATTTAACAATAATCAGGCACGTGCTGGTTTTTTCTTTGATATTGCCGAAAATCAGTGAATCAATTGACACAAACCAACTTACATAACAACTGATTAAACAATCATACTCTTTTTTTTATTTTAAGTAATAAACAATTGTAAAGACTATTGCTAAATATGTAATTAAATGTTTTGTTCTAATTTACAAAGATTAAAAGGCAAATCATTTTGCATTTGTTTTATTTCTCTTCCGATAAAGTTATTTCCGTGCATGGCTTGGATGTGCGTCAACTATAAAGTTAGAATATGGCCAGCTTGTTAAAATGTTTATGTATTAAAGAGTTATCAAAACAAAAGGAATAAAAATGTCGACAATATTAAAAGTTGATATTCTATGCTCAAAATAGATACAAGGTGATGCGGTATGAGTGCTAATGAGACAACTCTCCATCCAAGTCACAATTTGTAAAAAGTAAACCGTTATAGGTCAAAGAACGGAACATTGGCTCACACAAAACAGCAAGCTATAAAGAGCCCCAAAATGACTAGTGTAAAACCATTCGAACAGGAAAACCAACGGTCTAATCTATTTGTAAAATGAGAAACGAGAAACACTTATGAACTACATCAACAAACGACAACCACTGAACAACAGGTTCCTGACTTAGGACAAGTGCAAACAAATGCAGCGGGTTCAAATATTCAAAAAAGCCTTAATCTACGAATAATTCTCGAGACTTAGGTTACAATGTTCTTAATATTATCAGAATCGTATGTGTTAATTTAGAGCAAAAGATATATTTTTGCCAGAAAAACATTTTTCTTTACCTAAAAAAACACTAAACAATTTTCTATATTTTATCATTGAATTAACTGATATATACTTTAGATTTTAAACTATAGATGTTGAATTAAAACTAAAGATTTAAAAACATTTATAAAAATTTTGGGTCATCAAAATGTTCGACTAAACATCTTTCGAAAGTAGTGACTACTATTCTTTCTACAGTTAAAGATGGGCTTCAAATATATTGTGATGAGATATATTCTACCAGTGGTGTTAACCAGATGTTATGAGGAGGACAGATTAAAAATGACACTCCGTAAATTTACGGACACCATCACGAATTGGTTAGTCCATACGATGTGTCTTTGTCCAAACTAACTAAGGACATTTTTACCACGTGTTAGATTGTGGTTTGTCATTACGTCGTCTGATCTTTTAACTAACGAACGTGACTTATTCCCGATTGTGACTGTTTTGCTGAGTGTGAAACTGCATTGCTATAAGATGTGTCACGGTACCTTTCTATCCCAAATTCATGTATTTAATTTTGATGTTATATTTGTTATTCTCGTCGGATTTTGTCAAATGTTTTAACGTCTTTTCTGTTATATTCGTGTGTTATCATGGTTATGGTAAAGA